GGGGTTGGGGGGGGGGGGGAAATTTGAACGCTTCCTCCGTTGGATTTTGTTGGGACCCTTTTATTTATTTATTTATTTTTCCTTGTTTTTTTTTTTTTTTTTTTTTTTTCCACTCGTGCAACAACAAGAGCGATACAGTGGTAAGAAGTAATGCGAGCGTGGTTGTGGGGGTCTGCGTCGTCGTCTTTGTCGTCATCGACGATGCCCGAGGCAAACGGATCGTCACTTTCTCTGGAAGATCGGCTTCACCGCGTCACGGCAAATGACATTGCGCGTGTGACACCAAGCGATGTGGAGCAGCTGAAGCAAAAAATGTCATTGGAGGACCTGCACCGCGCGATGCGTGTGCTGCTTGAGGACAACCGATATGCCGAGGTGTTGGACCGGGCAACACCGTCTTCTTTGCGCAGGGCGGCGTACGGTTTGAGCGCCACGCAACGCAGCTTTTTACTCACAATCTCAAAGTCAAACTTTCTCGCCCTTTACAATGTGTTGCCGTACGTGACCGAATCTCACCTTGCTGAGATGAATGCAATCTTCCGTGGTGCTAGCTGAAACAACGGAAGCATGCCCCGCGGTGGGCAGGAAATGATATACAGTATAAGTCTTTGACACCATTCATCGCCTTTGCCATCCGATTATTATGATTGCTTCCTTTCTTTCTCTCTCTCTCTCTCTCTATATATATATATATATATGTATATGTTCGCAGGTCCAAATATTTTTTATTTTTTTATTTTTTTCCGCTTGGAAGTCTGTGAGTCTGTGGCTGGAGAAGTCGATCGAGGTCAATTCAAGAAAAAATTTGTTAAGGGAGGCATTATAAATAGATATATACGCATAAATAGTTTACAATGGCTGCTAAGTTTGATCTGACAAAAGGTACTCTGAACTTTGCCACACATGATTCTCACTACCAACAGCAGATTTCTGCACCAGAGCAGGGTCCAACCGCAGCGGGCAGGAATTGGCCACGTGTTTTCTTGACACTATCGTGCATTTCAATGGGGCTGGTGATTGCTAGTTCCATAATTAGTCTTATGACACTTACCGTTGGCATTTCAGCAATTTTTTTGAATATATATCTTGTAGTATTGTGCTTCTTCACCCTTACTGCGGAGCTTCGCCAAATAAATTGCCTGCGAGGACTCATATATAATTGGATAAAGTACCTGTACTTTCTGACCACGTACACTGGCCGGTCTTTTTTTTACATATTTTTGGGAACCCTCGCGTTTGGAGGCGGTATCCTGAACTATGTGGCGGCAGGCGTGGCGGTTGCTCTTGGTGTCATCATGCTTTTTGTGAATCTTTTTGTTGATTTGCCAAAGTACGTGGACCCAGAGGTGGTTCGCGAGGAGGAAGCTGCGCGACGGGAGGCTATGGGGGGTATGGATCAGGTTATTTTTTTCCCAGTATCCAGACCAGGTGCCAAAGATAACATTAGCAACGCTGCTGTGGCTTTCTCTTCTGCTGCCAATTCGGGCTATAAGCCACCGGGCATTAACGAAGGCCCTAACGCACTTTAGAATGGTAGATCTTGCCGTCTATGACAGCCGGGCAATGATTACTTGTCCAAACAGAAATAAGTAAATATGTGGAATTACGAAGCGATGAACAATGGTTGCTTAGGAAGGGAATGGGTGGGGAAACCCAAGTGTAAATTATTATTTTTTTTACTTCTGATTTCTTCTTGCGCTACTAGTAGAAGTAGTAATCCCCTATTTTTTACCTTTTTTTTGGACGGGGTACGAGATGTGTGTGTGTGTGGGGCGGGCGTATTACCTCAGCTGCTTCCTCCACATCCGGTATCCTCAATGGTATCAGTATTTGCTGGTGTGCTGGAGGAATTGCATGAAATCAGATTCTCATGTTTCGGGTACAGATGTGTTGCCGTTTGCAGATGCTTGCCACTCCTACTGCCGAGAGACGGCTGTTTCTTTGAGCGCAGCCAAATGTGTACTTATGTGTGGAGTATGGCTTTACTCTTTGTTGTTGGTTGATTTTTTTTTATTTTTTATTATTGGGCGGCGACCCCGCGAATTTATTAGAATGGGGCGGTGTTCTTTGAAAATAGCGCCCGACGTGGTGTGTGTGTGTGTGTGTGTGTGGCTGTTTAAGTTACCACATATATTTTTCTGTGATATATTGCGGGGATGTCGATACTGTTGTGAGGCTTTTGTCTCTTGTGCGATTTGCCTGTTGCCCTCGAGGGGAAAAGGGTGTTTTTGCCGCGTCCAACACCTTTACCTCCCCTTTTTTCTTTTCCATTTTTTTTTTTTTTTTTAGCTGAGGCAGGAGACTTTTAAAAGGCCCCAAATTAAAGTTAGGGGCGCCGCTTTTTGCTCTCTTTCTCTCTTTCTTTTGTTTTTTGTCTCTTGTGCGGGGCAGCAGCGGCCGCAGGAACAACACCGGAGGATGGATGACGACACATCCGACGGCCCCCCACCGGAGCGTAGCGCACGGGTACGACCGAAACATCGCAGCGCCCTTCCGGCGGTGCGCCGCCAGAGAGCGGTTGACCCGCGTTTTAGCGACCTCTACGGCACCGTTGACCAGAAGCAGTTTGAAGTCCATTACAAGTTCTTGCGAGAGCAGCAGGAGGAGGAAGAGACACATCGCAGAAATCGCATACGCCGCCTGAAGTGCATTGCCCGGCGCGGCGAGCTTGAGGCAAGCGGTGCGGACTTGGAGGAGTACGATCTTTCAGAAACTGAGCGGGAGGTGTTCGGGGAGGACCACCTCGATGAGTTGTCCGCGATGAAACTTTTGCCGCTGCAGGACGTGCAGAGAGAACTTCAGCAGCTGCAGCGCGAGTCGCAGTTGCACGTGTCGCGAACTAAAGGCCGCCATGTGCAATCAAGTCGCGACACCCTGCGAAAAGAAATCATTAAACGAGAGGCGTTAGCAGTGAAGGAGGGGAAGAAGCAGCGGCCATTCATCCCAAAGCGGGCGCATCTCAAGCGTGAGATACTCGCCGACACGTTTGAAAGGCTTGAACGAAAAGGCGGAAAGGGGGCGGTGGAAAAGTACGTGGGCCGCAAGAGCCGGCGATGATTCTGAGGAAAATGACAGTGACAAATGTTTTTTGTTGCCCAACTTTTGATGGAACGACAATTAAGAAGAGCGCGGGAATTTCGCCTGTTTCTTTGCCAGTTTGATGAGTGATTGCCGGCGTCACATTGCATTGGGGATGGATACGGATATTTCTGCATGCATGTATTCTTGATTTACCACTTTTTTCTCTCTCTTTCTTTCTCTCTCTCTCTTGTAATACAAGCAAAAACGTCAAATATTGCTTAACTTCCCGACTTATAAATAGCTACATACATTGGAGCTCCACACGTCATTTAACATAATGCTACGCAAGTTGCTGGACGAGTTTTGGCGTATCGCAAATCCATTTACGCAGAATTCAGAGGATATGACTACGGAAGAGATGGAAAAACAAGCAAGTTTTGAATCCTTTGACTACTACAAACCATACCCATCCATGTACATGAAGCATCTCCGTAAACATTATGCCATGCGCACAAGGGCCGCTTTTGCAATGGATGGAACATCTACCACAACCACAAATACAACGATTAATAATACGGTTTCACCGGCCGTGGAGGAGCTGGTGGTGGATAATAGCGATGCATCACACAACAACATTGATGGGGCTAGTGTAAATGTACTGAGTATGGTCAAGAAGTACGATGCCGACGAGCGCAATGAGGCACTGCGATGGATCCTTCACGTTCTTATTGCCATTTCTGTTGGTATATTGGCAACGATCATCTCGTATACTGTGGAAATCGTAGATGATTACCGTGCTGCTCAGCTTTACAAACTTATCACAGAGCACTCCGTGATTGGTCGCATTATTGGTTACGTTTTCTCCATTGCTGTATCGGTGGCGCTTGTCGTGGTGGCAACAGCCGTTGTTGTGTTTTTTGAGCCAGCTGCGGCGGGCGGTGGCATACCGGATGTTATAGCCTACCTGAACGGCGTGCATGTGCCCCATGCAATGAATTTTCGTACGTTTGTTGCGAAGAGCATATCTTGTATGTGTGCGGTGGCTGGAGGGCTACCGGTAGGACTTGAGGCGCCATTGATTCACCTTGGCGCCATCACGGGGGCGGGGGTGACGCAGGGCCGTAGCCGCACATTAGGATTTCAAACAAAGCTTTTTCAGGCGTTCCGTAACAATAAGGACCGAAGAGATTTTATCACTGCAGGAGCCGCATGTGGTGTGAGCGCCGCATTTGGGGCGCCGATTGGTGGTTTGCTTTTTGTAATGGAGGAGGTTTCGAGCTTTTGGGATCACAGTGCAAGTGGGCAGATTTTTCTTGCCACAATGATTTGCTTCACGACGATTAGTATGATTCGCTCCGTACTGGAGGACCAGCGTTTGCTTGGGTGGGTCTCAAATGCTGTTTCTGTTCTCTTTGAGGTGAATTTGACGATTCCGCTCAACTTGTTATCGATTGTGCCGTCGTTTTTTCTTGGTATTTTTTGTGGGGCGTTTGCCGCCGTCTTCACAAAAGTAAATCTCATGCTTTTGAAGTACCGACGCCGACGTCTACGTCCTTTTGTGTTCTGTCGGTTTCTCGAGCCCCTTATCATTGTACTTTTGTACGGCACGCTCTCTTATATGTTGGCACTCGTGCCGGACTGTCGCCCGATGTACGAAATGAATAGTAAGAACGGGACGTTTTTCTGGGGTACGGAAAACCGAACGCGGCTTTTTACGGCGACATGCGCAAAGGCCGACGAGTACGCGCCACTCGCAACACTCACAATGGGGAACGGAAAAGACATTATTCGGCATCTTCTTTCACGACAAACAATAGGGGAATTTCCTGCTGCATATATTCTGCTTTTTCTCATAATATACACCGTATTTGCATGTTTGTCGAGCGGGATGGCAGTGTCTGGTGGATTGGTAGTGCCGAGCCTTGTCATTGGCGCCGCCTTTGGGAGGCTGTATGGGCAGTTAATATGGTTTATGGCCGTAAGTGGGAACGACTCTGAGCGCAGTTATAGGGCTTCCCAGGCCTGGTTGGATCCTGGTGTCTTTGCGCTGATTGGCGCCGGCGCCTTTTTCTCTGGTACATCCCGCATGACAATGTCTATTTGCGTTATTATGGTGGAACTTTCTTCTGAGTTGCACTATCTGCTTCCTGTCATGGTCGCTATTATTATGTCCAAGACTGTGGCCGACCTTATTAGTGAACCCCTTTACCAATATATGCTGCGCCTGGACTCCGTGCCGTATCTTCAGGCGCACCTGCTGCGTCCGGGGTTTGAGCAGCTGACGGCTGCAGACGTGATGGCATCGAATGTTTTGACGCTTCGACTGCGGGAAAAGACACCTGTCGTATTGAATGCACTGCGAAACACGACGCATCATGCCTTTCCAGTGGTAGAGGAAGTGCGAGAGGAAAAAACAGACGAGGATAGTTTTAGGGAGGCTGAAACGCGTGGCAAAAGGGCGAAATTCAGGGAAGAAGAGGAGAGACGTGTGCGACACAAGTTTGTCGGTCTTGTCACACGTGAAGATGTTCAGATTTATCTGACACTCCCTGCACTGCAGATTCCCAACCAGACGAGTGATCATTCCGGTGTGTGCAGTCATGGCTCTAATGCTGAGCTTGCGCCCAGTGTGCTCGCTGTCAACAAGATGACGTGGACCGAGTGGCTGACTCACAAGACGTCCCTCTTCTTTGTCTTTGGGGGCGCTAGGTGGTCGGAGATGTGGACGAAGAATAACAGCAAGGATGGAATTGCCGAGGACGATCAAATCCACGCCAACGAGAATAACAGCCATAACAGCAGTGGCGATACCCCCAATCCGTTTTTTGTGGATGTGCGACGCCTGCCGCCAGTCCTTGACTTTTCGCTCATTGTTAACCGCAGCCCATGGGTGATCCCACCGTTCTTCAACCTGCAGATGGCGTATCACACCTTCCGCATGATGGGGCTGCGACACATGGTTGTTGTGGACGGTGACGCTGTCGTGGGTATCATCACGCGAAAGGATCTTCTTGTCGACACGCTCTTACGACGTCTGCGTGGACTTCAGGGAGAGAGTAATGGCGGTAACACACAAAACACGTCGCTGGCGTCACCATTATTGCCTTTTGAACGTAACGGGGGTAATGACTCGCCGCGGTCGCGGACATTTCATTCCTCCCTTGCTCATTCGTCCGAAACAGACGTCCCTGATCTGCTTTTCCTGGAATCTTATCCCAAGAGCTCTGGCCCCCCAAAGTAGGAATTAACTACGAGAAAAAGACGCCAAGAATGAAAAAAAAAAAAAAAAAAACCGGAAATAAACGCTGAATCTCGGTGACGCGGGAGGGGCAAGTATGGAAGGGAAGAACCGGGAGGACGGCGATTTAAAAGAAAAGGAGGGGAAGCGAAGAGAAGGGTGAAACCGAGCGCGAATAGCCGTCACCGCTGCTATTCTCACGGTAAGTTGACATATATATATATGTATATATGTATATATGTCATGCGCGCACTACCTACTCTCTGGTTATTTATTTATTTATTTCCCTTCCTGCGTATGCGTTTTTTTTTTTTTTTTTTGCCGTCGTGATTTTTGCCACTTTTAATAGAAAACGGGGGAAAAAGCACCAATCGTCCACGGGGAAGACTGATGCAAGAGTGAAAAGAGAAACTAACAAGTTGTTCGTTGATTTTTTGCTGTTTGTGGATGGTTTTTTTTTTTTTTTTTTTTGTTGTTGTTGTTTTCTGCTCCTCACTGTCACCTCATTCTCCTTACTTGCTTTTAAAAGGATTTTTTTTTTTTTTTTCTGTTTATCGGCATGTGCTGATTTGAACATGCGCCTGTTTCTTCTATTTGAGTCTTTTTTTTTTTTTTTTTTTTGGGGTTTCAGTCATACCGTGAGGATATCCGCGCCGCGAGGCACACGTAAACACCAAGATAGAGGACAGGCGGGTGTTGTGAAAAAACAAACAAACAAACAAAACAAAAACAAAAAAACGAAGTGGCATGGCTGCATCCACCACCGATGAGAAGGATGCCAAACTAACAGAGCTTGTCAAGACGATGTTTGAGCGCGTGCCAAAGGAGAAGCGGCTGACGGCGGAAGTTGTGATGCAGTTCCTGAAAGCGAAGTACTTTTCTACCTTCCCGGCGGAGTACCTCACAAATCGCGCGGAATTTATCGCCAGCCTCATTGACTCACTCTACAGAAAAAGGAGTAACGATAAGAAGGAGTCTGACGCTAATGGCAACTGTCAAGACAATGACAATGATGATGGCGACGAAGACGACGACGATGAGGATGACGACAGTAGCGAAGGTGACGAGGAAGAAGAAGAAGAAGAAGAAGAGGAGGAGGAGGAGGAGGAGGAATCCGAAAGCGAAGATACGGATGAAACGGGTGGCGAAAATGATGACGCCGATGGCGCACCGGTGGAGAAGCGGCAAAGATTAGAAGAAGGCGCCAGCGATGTTGCGCGGCGTTGTCACGAAATGGCAGAATGCCTGCGTCGTCTGAGTTACCGCTTGCGGAAAAGAGAGGATGGGGAGTCCTATGAGTCATACCTAGAGCAGTACTTGGTGCCTTTCTTCCGGGAGAAGGGGCTTGACCCGGAACGGTACGGAAAGGAGGATGTAAGACGATATCGTGTTAAGAGAGAACTCGAACAACTACAATCCGACGGCGCAGATGTAAATTTGGATCGTGCTGCGCGTGCTGGTCGTGGCCTTAATCGTCTTGCATTGAATAACGACGCTACCGTCAGCATCAAAACATCGAAGTTCCTCGATGAGGAGTAAAAGAAGAATCGGTCGGGTTCCTCACTCCGTCAACACGTCTTTTTCTTCTTTTACTATTGACCATTTTAATTTGGCCCCAGCTTAGTGCGGCCATAAAAAATGTATGGGTGGTGAAGTTGAATCACATATAGGCGGCGTGGTGGTGCCTGCTGCATAGAACAACTGACGGAATATGTTCTACCATTGTTATATAAATCCTTAAATGTTTTCTTTTTTTTTTTTTTATCCCTTTTTTTTTTTTCTTTTGGTTTGTTTGGTTGATTAAATGCTGCCTGTGTGCTTCGCGGCATGAGCCTTTTAAGAAACAAAAAAGTGTGTTTTTGCGTTTGCTTAACTCTTTTTTTTTTCTTTCTTCTTCTTTTCTTTTTTTTTTTTTCACATGCATGTTGCATTAAAAACAACAACAACAACAACAAAAGGGTGTCAAGCGAGGGGTTGGATGGGGAAGGAATGCGCGTTGAGGCATGTCCAATTGTCAAGAACGAAGATAAGCCCAATGTTGTTGAATCATTCTTCTCTCTGAAGCCGCTTGCGGGGGCGGCGGATGAACCGCTCATGTGTGAGACAATCAGCAACGGTCACAACAACAGCAAGCATGATGGTGACGCGAATAATAATAATGATAATAATAATGGCACTTGCGGAACTGTGGCCCCACCAGAAAATACCCCAGCAAAGGATTCTCGGTGGACTATGTCGCTTATTGCATTTCATCAGCAGCGCTACGATTATTTCCTTCAAGCGTATTTTGGCTATGGGGCAGAACAACGGCTTAAATGTATTCGCCAGGCGGCTCAGATGTGTATGATTGGTCTTGGAATACAGAAGAAGGGCCAAACAAGAAATGGCGACATGGTTCACGCCATGAGACATTTTCTTCGGCACTCCGTTCTGGCAGTAGAGGGGGACGCCGTCTTTGTCAAGCTTGTACAGAAGGCTAGGCTTCGTTGGTGTGACGAGGGAAACATTCATTTTGATGACCCACGGCATTGGCCAAATGCTCGCTGTATCGCTATCCACTATGGTCTACCTTCGCTGGCTACAACGGCTGACTCCTGTTGCACTGCTGTCGACACTGAGGAACCAGTTGGGGTGAAGGCGGAACCGGAAATAAAGGGGAAAAAGTTTCCGCCAGCGACGCTCATAGCAGTAGTTGCTACCACCCCCATCGAAGAGGGTGAATCTGTGCGGCTTTGCCTTCGTTCGTACCATCGTTGTCTGGATGAGGCGACGTGGTACGAGCAACTTTTTGGTTCCCGCTTTAATGAAGGAAATGCGGAGACATCTAGTGTGACACGAGGACAGAAACGGTTTGACATGTGGCCAGAGGGTTTGGCCTTCTTTCATGGCGTGGGATCAGGACACGCGGGAACGGAGCCAGTGGCAGGCTTCCCATTTACGCTACTCGAGCTTGCCGAGGCAAGAGAAATAGGGAATGGCGAGAAAGGCCTTTTCGCCGCGCATCCCGTGCCGTACGCCACGTGTTTTTTGTATGCGGGGCCTGCCGTTGCGACAAAAGTCTTGGAGGAGAAGCGGGCGGTTGCCGCAGTGAAGAACGGCACCACCACTACCAATAATCCTGCTGCTACTGTCGCCCCCGCTTCCTCCGACATCACCAATAGCTCCACAACGACCACCACCTGCCGTGACAACATGAATACCGATAACATCAATAGCGGAAGCATTGACGACGAGGATGATGATATGTTGAATGAAATACCAATTCATGACGCGACTTATGCGCTTGGCCTGGGTCGGCACGGAATGTGTTTTGGCCAGGGACTTATGCGATACGCCAATCACCGCTACAATATTAGCAAGTTTGGGAATGTGGAGCTGTGCTCTGTGATGCTCTCCGTGACGAGTGAGTTTTCTTCATTGGCGGCAGAGCTTGAACGGCGCCGCAACCCTGCCTTTAGAAGAAGGAGGAATCCGAGAGGCGCACCGGGACGGAAGCCCAAAAAGTCAAATGTAATTTCCCATGCAAAACAGGGTGTTGAAGTGATGGGCGCCAAGAAGCGGCGTTACCGTCCCCTTGCTGGACGTCGCGTATTTTTGGAAGAACACAGCCATTTTGTTACGATTCCGTTTTTTATCGCAACAACGGATATAGAGGAAGGGCAACAACTGCTGGCATGGACCTACGGCGAAGAGTATGATGCCCGACTTGAGCGGCAAGTTGTATGCGATGGGAATCTTGTGCCCTATGGAGATGCGGTTGTGCTCGATACACGAATTCCTGTAGGCCGTTGGCAGAGTTATAAAGGAGACTACCGTCACGGTATGGGTGTCAGTGACATTGTTTGGTGCCGTCATTTCCCATCGAACGGGATTCACGATCCTGTGGATGAATTATATATCATACTGGAGATGCCATTCCACGGTATGGGCTATTTGCTACTGCGTCCCCTAGTCCGTAGTCGCAGCGCCCAACGCCAAGAGCTTCTTGAGCCTTATCAAGGGTCGCCTGATGAAATGATTCTGCTGGATGTCTGTGAGTCCAAGGTGCTAGAACAATGCATCATTGCTCATATGGATACAGTGGCCTTGCTCCTCGTGGAAATGGACTATTGGAGTCTGAGGAGGGCCAAACGGACCCCGGCATCATCTCCGCTTGCGTGGAGCAGTTGTATTTGTGGCGGGGGCTCGTCATGTTTGATTCGTCATATTGTTGTGAATGGTACATCTCTTCGGGCCGCGACGAGACTCGTTCGTGAAAGTGAACATAAATTTACGACAACAACCAGGGTAGAGATTCTCTCTGGATCTGTGTGGCCCTTTCTGCAGGGGCGTGGCGGTGCTGCAGGAACTGGCAGCAAAAAAAGAAGCGGCAAGGGGCAGTAAGGATAAACGAGTCACGAGTAACGGGACTTTCTCCTTTTTTTTTTTTTTTTTTTTTTAAAGGGAGAGGGGAGGTACCATTTATGCAGTTTTCCATATTTATATTTGTATCATCCCATGGATAGGATATCTCATTCCCATATGTCTGTATCTGTACTGTTCAGTGATGCTTCACGGGGACGGGGAGTGTCACGCCACCTGCGAAGATGAGTTGGGAAGGCTGTGGACGGACTTTGATATTACGTGGCGGGCAGCTGCACACACACACACACACACGTAAGGAAGAAAGGTGAACTCTTTGCATTCCTTATTGTTTCTTTTTTTTTTTTTTTTTTTTTTTTCTCGGATGGATTGCTCTCTCACACGTGCCTACTATAGACAAGGGAACGGCTGTGGGGTGGGAGCGAGATCTCCGCCTTCTGTCCCCGGCTGAAAGAGAAGACCGAGTCAGACGGCGAAAACAAAGAGGAAGGAAAGAAGGCGAGCAAATATGCCACCGGGCAGGGAGGAACGTCTGAAGGCCTACACCACCGCGCTTGGCACGAAGGCGTACATCCTTCACAGCACGCCTTTTGACGGCAGTTATGATGGGAATACCGATGGGGAGAAGGAGGATGTACCTGCTGGAGGAATGAAATGCCGTTCTTCGGCTTCACTAGGGCCATGTCGCAACTTCACCCTACGCAAACCAAAGTTGCATGGAAAGAATGTTCTGCCACCAGCCGCACAGCGCGCCTTCTTGGGGGTAAAAAGAAAGAAGGCCGATGATGCCTATTTTAGATCACCATCAAAGAACAAGAGTAACAGTGCCAACACAAGCTACCCTTCCTTAAGCGCCGATTATGCACGTCTTTTGCCCACAACAGTGGTAGTGCCTCCGCTGTCGACTTCTGCTTTGCCAGCTGACGCCCGTCCTGCATCAGTTAGAGCCGTCCCTGATGCAGGACGGGCGTCATTGGGGGCGGTTGAAGTGACTGTTCCTTCATTATTGACGGAAAATATTGCATCTGCTCTTCGAGCCCCAGAGAAGTTTAATTCTGCCGATATTCCACTGCTTTCATTTGCGTCATCACCACACATTAATTATGGACGTGTTGCGGATTCTTTTTGTTGCTCAGCTGACGATCACCAAGAAATGGTGGGCAATGGTTTTGTGTACTGTCCGCAATGTGGGGTCAAACTGCGCCACGGGGCCCAGGTGGATTACTTGCCAGCCGACTGTCCAGTCCGTCACGAGCGGGAAATTGGCGAGAATGAGGAGGGCAGCAACTATTGTTTTCTCTGTGGTGCCTCCATGGGCATTTGTCCCATGCCACCGCAAGAATTGAGAGAGGAGAATTCGAAGGAGGGAAACACCGTTGGGGGTTGCTGGAACCGGCAGCTGGCGGAGACCGGAATGCCAAAGGCAGCTTTTTTGGGGCCGACCAACACGATGTTCGAGGGAATTCAAGCAGTGAAAATGCCTTCTGTTCCCGCGTCTGCTGCGACCACATCCACAACCGCAGCTAATTTCGGTGAAAGGAAGGGCGACGAGAGGGCAATTTTCAGGACAGAAAAGTTACTCGAGTCAATGCCTGTTGAAACGACAGAAGCGAAAGCCAAGAAGGACGCGGAGTGGGGCGTCCCTGCAGTGGGATCTCTCCCTGTGGTGACGCCACCCCCTATTCCTTTGGTGACGGCGGCAGCGACAAGCAGTAAAACAGCTGGTAAATCTGTGGGTTCCTCTCCTCGGCATTCGGAAGGAAAAAAACAAGAGAAGTCCACTCAGGCGTCAGGTCCAACGTATCCCTCTTCATTTGACGGTGGAGAAGAGACGAAGATGTCTTTTTTAACCCCACAGGAGGGAATGCTGTACACTGTCGGTGTGCCCGGTGTTTCATGTGGCCTTCCACACTGTGCCTTGTGCGAGCCGTTTGTGAAACCACCGCTTCCGCCTGTCGTGTCGACGCAATCCCATTTTTTAAGAGATGAGGCGGGGCGGCGTGACGGGGCCAATGTTTGTGTTGTACATAATCACTATTATCAAAGTATTTCACCTCATCTCGTTTAGGGAAAGAAGGACTGTGAGAACTACTCTCTGCCTGCATCCCACTGTATATTTCTCCGTGCTACCCAAAGAAAAAGAACGAAAAAAAAAAAAAAAAGCGACAAAAACAAAAGCAAAAATATTGCTCTTGAAGGAATTTACACTATTTGTTTGTTTGTCCGTTCTTGTTGTTGTTTTTGTGGGTGTGTTTTGCCCTTTGAATTCTTGAGGTTTCTTTGCTGCTGTCAACACGGTCCATCCTCTTAACACTTTCGGTGCGTGTGGTGCTCTGAGGGGAAGTTGAAGGTGGACATTGTGGCGCATTGTTTTTGCTCCAATGAACACTTCCGTGGATCTGCGACGCGTTGCCTTGCGAAGACACGCTGCCACCATACGAAGACGTCAGCGTCTCTTATCCGCCAATGAAAAGGGTGCCATTGTAGAGTATGAGCCTGTGACGTCCTGCACTGCCGCAGCACCGTCGAGGCGCATTCCACTTCCACCTCGTCACGCCCTTACACGCCCTCGACTTCTTGAATATTATAAAATTGTTACTGGACGCGAGCCATCTTTGATGCGATGTGATACCAGAGAGGAGGATTACAACTACAGCTGGTTTACTCCAGCAGGTATTGAAGGAAGGAAGAGAAAAGAAAAAGGTGGGCGCCGATTACAAGAGGCCTTGGTTGCTTCTAGAATTTCACTGGATGCCTTCGAAGAGGGTGTCAGAGGCGTTTTTGACTCCGGTCATCTTTATTCTCCAATTTGCCGCTGGTTAAGACCAAACCACGAAGATAAACTTATCACTGATGGTAGCAACACGATGACAAACCGGTTTTTAGGAGATGCAGAGAACGCGGACAGCACCATTATTTTTGTGCGGCCGCGGAAGGGGGAGCTTCCAACCGAAGCAAAAGTAAGCAGCGATGAGTTGGTTCGCGTGGCACCCAAAGGCCGTGAGTGGGATCGCCAACATGCTCTCCGCCATGGCATTGGCCCGACAGCGCAGGAGGCAATCATTGACAGACGCATCGATTCGAGATATCGCCTTCCGGGTGACTATGTGCGTCGAAATAGACGAGGGGAGCTTGTGGATGCACGTGGACGCCCGATGCACGCAGCTGGAGCGATTGCACGTAAAAACAGTGAAGCCGCTTTGTTTAGCGGAATATGAGCTTTCGGATTGTTGTGGAGTTTCTGTTTCCTTGCAGAGACGTTGGAAACTATTACTGGTGATAAGGAGCCTTCCGTTGGTGGAGATTTGCTCTTTTGTTTCATGTGCATGAATTTTCGAAGTGGGCTTGAGTTTTTTTTTTTTTTTTTTTTTTTCGGGGGGGCCCAATACAACTTAATTATTTCTTTACATTTTGCCACAGTGGCGTTGCGCATTCCGGTGTACACCATTTCTTTTTTTTTCTTTTTTCTTTTTTTCTTCCTTTGCTGCATGCTCGGCATTTAGATTGAGCTCACTGCACTTTGAGCGAGAGGAGAATCGCCTGGTGATTTTTTTTCATTTTTATTTATTTATTTATTTTTTAAATGGGCGAGTCGTCAAGGCCAAAGGTCTTTTTTTTCCTTGGCGGTCCCGGCTCCGGCAAAGGCACGGCATGCGATTATCTTGTGAAGGAGTTTGGGTTCACCCACTTCAGCGCCGGAGACCTTCTCCGTGAGGCAAGCAAGAGCAATAAGAGCGATGTGGAGAAAAAAATTACGGAGATAATTCGTATGGGGAATATTGTGCCCTCCGAGATAACAGTGGAATTGCTCTCAAACGCCATTGCAGAACACCCCAACCCTCGCGGGTATGTCATTGACGGATTCCCCCGTAAGATGGATCAGGCACTCATGTTTGAAGAAGGAATAGCTCCTGCGAAAGGCATATTCTACTTTGATTGCCATGAGGAAACGATGGAGGCACGGGTACTGCACCGCGCCAAAGAGGGCTCTGGACGGGATGACGATGATATTGAGGTTCTTCGGCGTCGCTTCCGCACCAATGTGGAGCTTTGTATGCCCGTGGTAGAGCGGTACAAGGCTGAGAACCGCCTCCATACAATAGACGCTAATCGCAGTCGAGAGGAAGTCTACGGAGATGTGAAGCGAGTTATGCTTCAGCTCGGTGAGGTGCCGCTGTAGAAGTGAGGATATATGCTACACGTGATTTTTGTTCTTTCCTTGTTGTTTGATAGTTTATTTCTCCTTTGGGCTTTTGTTTTTCCCCGATGAATCTTTCCACCCCCCTTGTATTATTATTATTATTATTGGCACTGCTTCAACCATCGTTCTTTTTTATGCTGCTCATTATTACTCTTATTCTTGTTATTATTTTTATTGGCTGCTGCTGCCACTTCCCTTTTTTTATTCTTCCGCCTATCCACACACAATCTCTGCAGGTGGTTTGTCCACAGAGTTTTATCATGGCCCGCCGCCCCTCACGCTGCTACCGCTTCTGCAAGAACAAGCCGTTCCCAAAGTCGCGTTTCTGCCGTGGTGTGCCTGACCCGAAGATCCGCAACTTTGACATTGGCAAGCGCCGTGCCACGGTGGACGAGTTCCCCGTGTGCATCCACGTGGTTTCCCGCGAACTGGAGCAGATTTCCTCGGAGGCGCTGGAGGCTGCCCGTATTCAGGCCAACAAGTACATGGTGAAGCGTGCCAACAAGGAGGTGTTCCACATGCGCATCCGTGCCCACCCGTTCCACGTGCTCCGTATCAACAAGATGCTTTCCTGCGCTGGTGCCGATCGTCTGCAGACGGGCATGCGTCACTCGTACGGTAAGCCGAATGGCACCTGCGCTCGTGTTCGCATTGGCCAGATTCTCCTGTCGATGCGCACGAGGGAGGCCTACATTCCGCAGGCGCTGGAGTCTCTCCGCCGTGCCAAGATGAAGTTTCCCGGACGTCAGATCATCGTCATGTCCAAGTACTGGGGCTTCACCGACATTCTCCGCTCCAAGTACGAGGAGCTGCGCGACGCCGGCAAGCTGCAGCAGCGTGGCACGCACGTCAAGCTCATTGTCCCCAAGGGCAAGATCACCCAGTACAATTTGCTGGCGTGAACAAAACCACCTTTTTTTTCATATTTGATGCTTTTCTGTTTCAGCTTTTAAGCATCTTTTTTTTTTATTTTTATTTTTGCGACGTTGATTTTTGCTTGGGCTCATTTTGCCGTTTGTTGGTAATTTCTTGGTGGGGTGAACTAATTCCCCTACGGCAGCCAGCAATTTTGCTTCCTTTTTTGATTTCAATTTTGATATGTATTTCTTCATTGGGTGGTGTAGGTCAAGGCACAAATTCGTCTGAAGTAGTGGAATCAGTTGTTCTCTTAGAAGGGATTAGGAGGGGTATCGACAATGCGACAACACCGTGCTCGAATGCAGCGTTGGGTAAGGCGTGCTGTGTATCCGGCGTCTTTGCATGGCGGTGTTAGTTGTGGGAATCTCCGCTTTCTAGTCCGTAGCGACCTTACGGCCTTCACTCCTTGTATTGCAGCTGCGGCAGGTTTGACAGGGTTTGGGGTTTCGAGGCGTTTTTCCTCCACGAATGTCAAGAAGGATTTATACTCCGTTCTTGGTGTCGCGCGTAATGCCTCGCAGGAGGATATTAAGTCGGCCTACAAGAAGAAGGCCAAACAGCTTCATCCGGACGTGAACCCCAATCCTCGTGCAGCAGAGGACTTTGCGGATGTGAAGCAGGCGTTTGACGTGCTCTCAGACCCGCAGAAGCGTAGTATGTACGATATGACCGGCAACTCGGGTGCGGCGGATAAATTTGGATCAGGTCCCGGTTTCAATCCGTTTGCGCAGGCTGGCGGTGAGAATCCTTTTGCGGGTGCTAATCCCTTTGGTGGTGCCAATCCTTTTTCATCGGCTGCTGGAGGGCATGGCTTTTCATTTAACGACTTTGAGGAAATTTTCCAAAAGATGAGTGGAGCGGGTAAGGACAAAACTCGCAAACCGCAGGGACCGGAGCCTGGGGCGGACATTCACTTTAAACTTCGCTTGTCTTTTCTGGAGGCGGTCAACGGGTGCAGCAAGGAGATATCGTACAACACGTTTCGGCGTTGTGGCTCGTGCACAGGAAGCGGGTTTCAGGACTCCGGCTCCAAGGCCAAGTGCGTGCATTGCGGTGGACGCGGGAAGAAGGTGATGAGCACAGGCTTTTTCCACATGCAGCAAGATTGCACCCACTGCGGTGGGACAGGTGAGACGGGACGCTCGTCTTGTACGCATTGTAGTGGAAAGGGTATTGTGAAGGACCGCAGTGTGCAGACCTTGCCTGTGCCCAAGGGCGTAGACAACAAGGAGCGCCTCAAGGTTTCGGGGAAAGGTGAGGCCGGAGTGCGTAACGGACCACCAGGTAACTTGTATGTTGAAATTACGGTGGACGAGCATCCGGTATTTCACCGCGAAGGTTGCGACATTCATGTCATTACGCCCATATCGCTGGCGACAGCGGTGCTGGGGGGCACGGTGCGGGTACCAACGCTGACGGGGGAAGTGGAGACGAAGGTGCCTGTTGGGACGCAGCAAGGTGACAAACTTGTACTGCGAGGCCGTGGCGTTCACCGGCCAAATCAAAACAAAACGGGTGACTTCTTTATCCACTTTGCCGTACTGCTGCCCAAATCTCTCACGGAAAAGCAAAAGAGTCTTATTGCGGAATTCTCCAAGGAGGAGAAGCCACTGGAGCTGACGGACCCCCAGATGCAGGAGCTGAAGGGCCGCTATAAATCGTGGTTCTCTTCCTAGAGAAGATGCGCGCGCTTGTGTGTGTATGTGTGTGTGTTTGAGTACGCGTGCTAGCAGTTGTATTCTCACACGCATGCGGCGGAGGCCCATGGAACGCCACCTGACAATTCAGGGGAAGAAAGAAATACACACGCCACAACCACCACCAAAGCCAAACCAAATTGAAGCGAATCAAGAAGAAAAGGAAGGAAAAAAGAACGAAAAAAAAGAAAGAAAAAAGAAAGGCAGGACGGTGTGTGGGAGGGGGAAGGATGCATGATGAACGGTCTTCTGTTCCTTTTTTTCCCCTCCCCTTTTTTGTTTTGTGGTCACACACACACGTGAGTGAGCCGCTTCTCCTTTTTTTTTTTTTTCTTTTTTACCAATATTTTATATTAAATATATGCTAAGAGAGGGTGTAAGCACACACACACACACACACACACACACGCAAAAAAAAAAAAAAAAAAAAGAATGAAAGACAGAAAAGAAAAGAAAAGAAAAGAAAGAAAAAAAGATGAGTAGGGTGAGGTGGAGCCTTTTTAAAGGAGGTGCATCTGCAAATATGACCTTCGTATTCACAGAAATGAGAGGAGATTAAACACATTCACGCACGTGCACATTACATTGTGTGTCTACACTAAGATTTCCTTTTTTTCCCTTGTTTCTGTGACCTGAGAAGTGATATATATATATATATATATATATATGTGTATATTGCCGGCAAGGCCCAAGGAAAGGAAAGGAAAGGAAAAGAAAGGATCAAGAGAAGGAGAAAAAAAGAATGAAATATTTTTTTTTTGTGTGTGTGTCTGTGTGTAAAATGGGAAGGATGAGCTTCACACAGTTTTCCCTCCTTCACTTCCTTGCGGTGCGTGTAATGGAGAATGTGTTTTTTCTTCTTCTTTTTCTTTTTGACGCTGAGAGATTTTATTTATTTATTTTTTTCTTTTTTTCTGCTTGTTTCCAACCATTTTTTTTTGTTTTTTTGTTTCTTTTGTTTTTGTTTTTTGCCGTTAAAATGGGGGGGAGGAAACGAGCGTGTAACACAAAAAATGCCAAGGATAGGATGGGCAAGTGGGGGAGGTGCTGGGCGATTTTTATCCCTTTTTTTTTTCTCCTCCTTTTTTTTTTTTGTAATTGCCACATATATATATATATATATAGAGAGATATCATTACATTTTATCCCTCAAACAAAAAAACTGATGGTTTGATGCGTGTTTGGGTTTCGTAATGCTTACATTTTGTGTATGTGTACCGTCAATACAAATTTTTCTTTTTTTTTTTTTTCTCTTTTTTTTTTTTTGTTGTTGTTGCGTGGGCCTGTCCGAAGTTTGGTTTCACAAAAGAAGTGCTTCTGGCATTGCTGCAGGGGTGCTGTTCGCAGTAGCCTGAAGAATATTATATATTTAGATATATAAAGTAGTCGATACATACATTGGCGTGCGTTTTATTATTATTATTATTATTATTATTGGAGGTGTGTGTGTGTGTCTGTGTGCGGATATTGTGAGGCGCGTCGGTGTGCGCTTTTCTGCTGTGTGGATAGATCCCACAGGAATTTGCAGGGAGAAGGCAATTAACACCCAAAGAGGATTTTTTTTTTTTTTTGTTTTTAAGGGAATGATAGGGAACAATGGCGATGCTGAACTAGAGGAGTACGTCCTTTTACTGCAGGTTGTGCGGGATCACATGTTGCGGCGTGAACAGTCTGGTCAGCCCCTTGTACTTCAGCTCCAGCGCGAAGGGGCAGATGGCGGAGATCAAGTGACGCTTTTACTTGGACAAGTCATGCCTGATCAGCCCGGTATTGCGAGGGTCGTGCCGCGACAAGGAGACAGCCCTGCGGTGCCGGATGCCTCTTTGCCTTTCTTGGCGGATATGGGGCCGTTGCTTCTTCAGGCGCTGGCGCTGCAGGTGCTATTCGGTGAGCAGCGACGTCGCATGGCCGCTCCACTTGAAAAGGAAGCGGTTGGGCGTCTTCAGCGCATGAAATTAAATTGTGGAATTGTGGCCCGACTTGAGTCGGAGGAGCAGGGGGTCTGCTCGATCTGCCAGGAGTCTTTTTCCACCGGCTGCGAGGTGTACCGCCTTCCGTGTGGCCACATGTTTGACGTGCGGTGTCTGAAGCAGTGGCTTGAACTCACAAGAACATGTCCAAACTGCCGCTTTGTTTTGCAGGATGTCGATCAACAGTACAAGGATGTGGTTGCCCCGGTATGGTGGAGAAGTGCGGGCGAGAATGAAGAGGAAGAAGAAGATAAAAAGTTTCAGAGCATTAGCACCGCCGCGGGAGGGGAAAATTTAGCACGAAGTTGTCCGCCAACAAGAGAGGTCGTTGGGGATGTTAATGGGGAGGCCCATAGCGACCATTCGCCAAATCCCCAGGAAGTATTTAGGACGCAACAACAAGAACCACAACAAGAGCAGCCGCAGCATCATTTGGGAATTCCACCGCCATTGGTTCAATCGTTTAGGACATCTTCACTTGTCTCACGTGGTAGTACAACTGATAGAGAGACACTTCTGGAGGGCAGTGGTGGGAATGATTTTTTTTCTGTTGAAAACGTATTAGATTCTGGTTTAGCTGAATTTGAGCCGGTGCCGCCACCGGATGTGCCACAGCGAACAGGTGGGGGTTTCCATGAGCATCTCATTGCTGAGGAGATAAGGACGGCATCATCGGTTAACGCGTCGCGTTTAGGTGAAATACGGGCTGTGGGACTTGTCAACCGAGACCCGCAACGACCGAATTGCCTGTCCACAAACGAAGAGCGAAGATCTTTAGCCGCTGCCTGTGAACCATCTTTGCCAGCGCCTACCACGAGGGAAGGAGCTGTTGCTGCCAGTTCGGCTTCTGGGAGAAACCCGGTGAATGCGTCATTTCCCTTCTTCCAGCGTATCTCTGCTGATGGCGGCGAGCACGGCATTACTACATTCATGCCGAGTAGTATCTCTCGTCCACCAGAGGAGACGCAAAGACCCCGTGACGAGACAATGATCCGACATTCCTCCTCTAATCAACAACCGCCGCAGCCGACAGCGGTGGCGGGTAGTGCGAGAAACTTAGTGCGGGTTTTGCGACGGCAGCGCGCAGAGGAGGTGCGCCGTGTGCGGCTAGGCAACCCCAACAGCAACAACAGCAGCAGCAACAGCAATGGCAGCAGTGGTGATGCATTGGATGGCAACATTGCCAGGCGTCAGGCACGCTACAGGCCTGTTGTCTCTAGAAGATACTTTTCACACTCACTGCCGCATCAGTCGCCGCCACTGCCACCGCCACTGTTGGCACCCCCACAGGGGAATTCAGAGGAAAGTCAACGCCGTGTCGGCGTGTTTGGTAGCGATAGATTTGTGCAACATGAGTTACGTCGATTAGTGGGATCCCGTTCCCAACCAGGCCGTGGAAATCGCCGGAACCTGGAGCGATATGAGGCAATTATCCGTGGTCGGCAGGGCGGAAGATTTTGAAAGACTCATAAAGCCGCAAGAAAGAGAAGGAAAAAAAAAAAAAAAAAGAAAACGGTGGAAAATGAAAATTTGGTATGAACATCAACCCTGAGTAGAAAAAAAAAAAATATATATATATATATTTATATATTTGGTTTTATACTCCTTATTCAAAAATACTTTTTTTTTCCTTTCTTTTTTTTTTTCTTTAGTATTATTATTGTGCTCGTGGAATGACGAGGCTGTTTAACTGGTACTGTGCAGCTAAAAAAACAAACAAACAAACAAAAAAAAAAAAAGAAACGCCAACAACTGCCATGTCTGAGCGTGATGACGGGCGCTGATGTTTGTTTTTTTTTTTCTTTTTTTTTTTTCCCAGCAGCTGTTGTTATGATGCTCTATCGATTTCAACTCGCCTGTTGATATTTTTACTTTTTTTTTTTTTTTTTTGTTTTTTTTTTGTTTATTTGAGGATGTGTGCCAGTTTACATCTCCTTTTTTGTTTGTTTCAGAGTCTGTCGTTCCGTTTCTTTTTATATAAAAAAATTTTTTTTTTGTTTGTTTCTCCTCTATTTATTTGTTTATTATTGGAATGTTCCCTCTTTTTTTTTTTTTGTGTGTGTGTGTGCCTGTGCCTGTGCGCATTTCAGTTTTTGGTATATATATGTATATTTCTTCTTTTTTGTTTGTTTTGTTTCTCAGGGGATACGGAGGGAGTAGTGTGGAGGTAAAATGTCAATGTTTGGGGCTCGCGAGGTGCCTGACGACACCTTCTCGTCGGATATTACAAATATTTCGGCCAATTACCTCAATGAAAATAACTGTCAGCGTTTTTGGCAGCGGCTGATGACATGTGTACGTGAAAGTCAAGAGTTAGACGTACTCTACGACTGCCGAAGTCGTATGATTGACTTGCGCGAGTGCGTCACACGCCACAAGCAAAGCACATGGGTTTTTCGTGAGACGATGGCGACACTCCGAAACGAGGAAAAGTTTCGTCGGTGGCTGAAAGAGTACGACGAGTCCTTTGGTCATCCCCCAATACTGGAGGCGGTGGAAAAGGTGCGCCGTAAGTTGGAAAAGGAAGGTGGCGTAAATGTGCTTAACCCGACCGTTTTTCACGACCCCGACGTGTTTATTCCGCGGGAAAAGGCATGAGAAAATTCTGTTTAAAGGAGAGCGAGAA